CAGGGGGGTGTACTTGACCAGAGAGAAGATGAAGATGCACTGAAGGAGAAAGAACAGACAGCTTCACCTCAGTTCAGTGACTCAGCTTCACCAGGACAGCACAGGGGCACTGCTGAAGATGTGGAATGTCATATTACAATAGAAACTGATTTTTATAGGTGGAGTTAATTTGAAGAAGTTCAAGACATGCACTTACAGTGCACACAGCTGGAGTGATGTAGAGCCAGCAGTATCGAAATGCAGCTAAAGGCCGATAGCCAATCATGTCCTCAATGTTGGTATATAACAGATCAGCTCCTGTATGAAATCCAGAGGTCAAGAGAAGAAGCTAAGTAATGACACAATTTCAAATTACATACAGATTTTGTGGTGCTATATGAATTCACTGACAGTTTTGTGTATTTTGTGTGTTCCAGAGGTCAATTGGTATTTATCAATAATAATATCAATAATATCTGTTGATTTTGACTAAGCTGCAGACATGAAAGCTTCCTTAATATTGGCCATGTAAAGTCTACGAAGATGATGATATACTGGGACAACACAGATGCTGAATAATAGTAATAAAGACATGAACACCTACCATATACCCATCCGATACAAATGGTCTGAAATATGGCAACAAAGAATATGCAGGCCCCACTGCAAGCATAGTAATCAAGCAAATGGAAAATGTATATTCCACCCTGAAGAGACAGAAACAATATTGCTATTTAAATAAATGTTGTGACAACTGTGATTTGAAATAGAGAGGAGCAGCTCTCAATGTACTGTATTCTTCTTGGTATGTTGTTTTACAACACCTTATTTCAACTTTGCTGTGTTGGATTTTCTTCAACTATGTGGGCTGTCCATTGCAGGTTTTGTTTATCGACTATCAGGCCCCTCAGCCCTCTTGTCCTCACCTCAGTGACCATGAGGAGGCCGAGTAGGAAACAAACTACACAGAAGAGGAGCAGAAGGAGCTCCCGCCGGTATCCTCTCTGGAACACTGCAGGAAACAAATCCACGATGGCCGTCATCACGGTTTCAATGCCCACAAACTGCAAAGACAACAGAGAGCATAGACGCCTGGATCACTGAGATAATGACATATAGTACCCCATAGTGCATGCAAACACAAGTAACACCAGTGGATAAATACAGTACTGTATGGACTCATAACATGGTCTCACCTGTGTGTCCAGTCCCAACAGGATGATCATGATGAAGAAGCAGGTGGCCCAGAGCTGGGGAAGAGGCATCATGGCCACTGCTTTTGGATATGCAATGAATGCCAGGCCAGGACCTGCACGACCAGACACAGGTTGATTCAGGGAGTAACACAAACTCTTGA